TAATGTATTTACTTTTGAGTAGCTTATGTAGATTGATTAACGATAGTATAGTCAAACAGTATACTGAAGCATATTCTTTGTTTGTATCTCTTTGTGTTTTGCATCTCTTCGTGATTATATACCTTGCATTTTGATAACCCTCACAGTATGATCTCCCATCTGTATCCAGGCAGATTGTTATATATTTTATACGCACAATTTATGTATTAATAAATGTATCTTGTTTATTGAATCCATGTGTGTGCGTCGCTGATTGATTAATAAATTGTCCCAGTAAATTCACAAAACCCATACACACCTAATACTGGCTAAAGCTGTTTTATTTGCTCCTGTTCTATGTGAATACAATAAACTTTAAACTGTAAAACTATACTAGATACTAAGGTATCTTGCCGTGAATTAAGATTAAGATTGCCCCAGCAGAATGTAAGAACCTGGGTATTACAACAAAAAGGTCCCTCACTTTTATCAAGGGTGGTGTGATTGGACTATATTAAGTAAGGTTAAAAATTGAATAGAGGAGGGGGCAAGTTAGACCAAGAAAATTAATAATGTTAATGTTATTTATCAGATTGATATTTTGGACAATATTCACATGTGCATTTCTTTTCTTTCAAACCCCTCACTTACATTATCCACAACAACTCCATGTTGCCCCTGTTGTCTATGAATCACATTTGAATTTGAAATTTGATTTTCTAGCCACATCATTACTTTTTAAAAAATATTTAATTTGTTAATTATTTCTTGAAAAAGAGTTGATAGATTTTACTTTACAAAAATAAATAATAGTTTCACAGTGTAGCGGCAATGCTTGTTAATAAGACAGAATTAAGTGTTGTGGGCTTTCCCAAATGAGGCCCCATTTCTCTGTTCATCTCTGTGGTGCAGCCACAGCGAAACTATTCGTAAAGGCTGATTTAAGGTTTCCTTTGATAAGGGACAGCTCCCAAAGGGGGATGCACTTAGCTAAACCTGGCTATCATGATCAATGGTCATGGTCATCCATTGATGCCTATCTGTCTAGGGAGTGCCAGATGGACATCTGGACTGCATTCCTAAGTGTCAGGAGTAAGTGACTCATATCTCACCTTGATCAACCAATCAGGGACTG